GTATTCATCAGAGACTAGGAAGCTTTTTTTTTTGGCGGGGGTGGGGGGTAGGCGGGGTGTCCGGCCGTAGGGCCTGAACTCTGGGCCTGGACGCTGTCCCTCAGCCCTTCAGCTCAAGGCCAGCGCTCTACCACTTGAGCCACAGCACTTTGGCTTTTATTTTCTTTTTGCTTATGTGGTGCTGAGGAATTGAACCCAGGGCCTCAGGCATGCAAGGCAAGCGCTCTACTGAGCTACCTTCCCAGCCTCCTAGCAAGCTTTTTAGTGGGGAGAGTGGGGGCAGTGAGTGGTTGTTGGTCCCTGGGTTTGAACTCAGGGCCTGGGCACTGTCCCTTAGGTTTTTTTCTTTTTTCTTTTGGTTTGTCATGGGCCTGAACTCTGAGGTTGGGCACTGTCTCTCAGCTCTTCAGCTCAAGGCTAGAGCTCTACCACTTGAGCCACAGCACTACCTCTGGCTTTTTCTGCTTATGTGGTACTGAGGACCCAGGGCCTCATGCATGCAAGGGAAGCACTCTACCACTGAGCCACCTTCCCAGCCCTCAGGTTTTTTTTAAAAGCTGGAGGCTAGTGCTTTACCCCTTGAGCCACAGCTCAGCTTTGGCTTTTTTTTTTGGTGTTTACCTGGAATAAGAGTCTCAGGGATTTTCCTGCCCTGGCTGGCTTCCAACCATGACCCTTAGATCTTAGCTTCCTGAGTGGCTGTGAAGACAGGTGTGAGCCACTGTTGTCTTACAGGCTTAAGTTTTTGGGAGGAGGGTCAGTGGTGGGGGTTGAACTCTGGGCCTGGGCGCTGTCCTTGCACTCTTCAGCTCAAGGCGACCAATCTACTGCTTGAGCCACAGCACCACTTCCCGTTTTCTGGTGGTTTATTGGAGTTTTACGGACTTTCCTGCCAGGGCTGGCTTTGAACCGTGATACTCAGATTGCAGCCTCCTGAGTAGCTAGGATGACAGGCGTGAGCCACTGGTGTCTGGCCTACAGGCTTAAATTGTAAAGAAGCATTTGAGCTGGGTATTGGTGACTCACACCAGTAATCAACCCTTAGCTACTCAGGAGGCTGAAATCTGAGGATCAAGGTTCTAAGCCAGCTCTGGTAGGCTAGTCTGTGAGACTCTTATCTATAAATAACCATTAAGAAGACAGAAGTGGATCTGGAGCTCAAGTGGTAGAGCACCAGCCTTGAGCACCAGCTCAAGGACAGTGACCAGGCCATGAAGTCAAGCCACAGTTCCGGCACGCACACAGTAAAGAAGCATTTGATAGTATAGAGACTGGGGTGTTGAGATGAGTGAGTTAAATAATTGACATCTCTTTGGAGAATAGAACCCACATCTCAGGATGGAGCTGTGTTGTTGCAGAACTTGCCTCCTAATGGTTCTTGTGAAATGATCTTTCTAGATAGAATAGGCACATACCGCTGGTTTGGCAGATGGGAGCGGTAGCACCTCTGGGCAGCTGCCCGTGGAGCCATCGGGCTGGAGAGTGATCTCCCAGACGGGCTGGCGCTGGGCCGGCCGTGGCTGCCGTGCCACAGCCGCGCTATTTCAGCCAGGCCCGCCTAGGCTCACGGCTTGAGCAAGGCAGGACGTTAACCAGTCAGCTCTGTGCCTTCTCGCGTCTCTGTGACCCGTCCTCGTCTCGGTCTGCCTGTGAGTGCTGCGCTGACCGCAGACGTGGGCAGCACGCTGGCCTCTGGCTGATGGAGATGAGTCTAATGGGAGCCACCTTCGTGATGTGTGTGTAGTCCTGTGCTCCTAGATGGCACTACTAGGAGTGGCCCCCCCAGCCCAGCCCAGCCCAGCCCAGCCCAGCCAGTTGTGGGCACTGCCCCTGAGCTTTTTTGCTCAAGGCTGTGCGCTACTACATGAGCCTCAGCTTTGCTTACAGCTTTTTTTTTTTTTTCCCCCTTTTGCCAGTCCTGGGGTTTGAACTCTGGGCCTGGGCACTCCCCTTAGCTCTTCAGCTCAAGGCTAGCGCTCTACCACTTGAGCCATAGCCCCTCTTCCAGCTTTTTTTCCCTGCTTATGTGGTGCTGAGGAATCGAACCCAGGGCCTCATGCATGCAAGGCAAGCGCTCTACCACTGAGCCACCTTCCCAGCACCACTTCCAGCGTTTTCTGTGTATGTGGTGCTGAGGAATCAAACCAAGGACCTCATGCATGCAAGGCAAGTACTCTACCACTGAGCTACCTTCCTAGTCCTGCTTGCAGTTTTTTGGTAGTCAGTTGGAGATTAGAAAATCTTCTGATCTTTCCTGTCTGGGTTGGCTTTTTGCACCACATGATTCTCAGATCTCAGCCTCCTAAATAGCCAGGCTTATAGGTTTGAGCCACCTGTATCCAGCTAGGATTGAAGGCTTGTTTGGGGGAGCGGGGGTGGGGGGGCACAGGGAGGTTGGTCTGCTATTTGAGCGCACAGCTCCAATTCCACCTTTTTATTGGTTGACTGGGTATATATTTAGCTTGGGCTGACTTTGAGCCTCAGTCTTGAGCCTCCTGAGTAGCTAGGGTTACTGGCATCAGACATCAGTGCCTGGTCTCTAGAATAATTTTTATAGCAGTGATAAAGGGGATATTATAGGATAAAACAATTTCCCTCCCTCCCTTGCTCAGTCATGGGGCTTGCCTGGGTGCTGTCTCTGAGCCTCTTGGTGTTCAATGCTAGCAGCTCTACCACTTGAGCCACAGCGCCACTACCTCTGGCTTTTTCTGAGTAGTTTATTGACAATAAGAGTTTCACAGACTTTCCTGTCCAGACTGACTTTGAACTGGAATCCTCAGATCTCAGCCTCGTGAGTAGTTAGGATTACAGACTTGAGCTGCTGAATTCCATTTTACAGGGTGACATTTTAGTGTGTACAAAAGAATGATTTGATTAGAATTTTGTTTCGGATAATGTATAAGGCTAAAATATATATATATATATATATATATATATATATAAAACACACATATATATGTATAAAACACACATATATATATATGCTAACGTATATGTGTATATACACACACACACTATATACGTTGTTGTTTGCTTAGAGTTGAGCCTACAACAGAATTATTACAAAGTAAATTTCAGTTGTAATCCTTAATTTTGGTAGATGTTTAATATATACCAGTTTCTGTTTTTGGTTTGGTTTTGGTGTGGTTTGAGACATAGTCCGCCCTGGCTTAGGATTTTTGATCTCAGATGCTGGGATTAGACACACTTGCTATTATACCTGGCTTCTTTCATTACCACTCCCACCCCCCATATTTGGTGTCATTGCAAGGCTGTGTCACTTGAGCAACAGCCCAGCCCTTTCCTAGTTTCTTAGATGTAGGAAATGGTCTTCATTTTGAAGTGGCTCGTAAATGGCCTAAGGGTGGCCTGTCCAGCAGCTCAGGGAGCGAGGTGTGGGTTCCCTTGTCACCATCTGCCCACCTTGCATGGGATGGAGCTGGAAGGCGACTGCTCCGGCCACGCTTGGAACCATGCTGCCAACGGCTACTTCTGTCCCTGCTGGTCTTTCAAGCCTGTTATGTTGGATTCCACTTTAATCAGAGCAACCTGTCCAGAGAGGGTCCTCTCCTTCAGGGCAGGCATGCGACCTGCCTCTGTTCTGTTCCAAGTCCCAGCCTTCCCGGGACTCGCTCAGACCCACCGCCCGAGGCTTGAGCCCTTGGTTCCCATAGGCTCCCATATGGTAGCACAGGCTTTTCTGGCTCCTCACACAGCTGCTTTGTCGTGCCCGCGCTGTGTGCGCTGTGTTTACACGGCCACTTCCTGCTTTGCTGCTGTGCCGGCGCTGTGTGGGCTGTCCTCACTTCCTGGATCCAGGCATAGCAGTTCCCTGGCGCGGCTGCTATCTTGCCTTGCCTCTGGCGCAGTGACTTGCTGTAATATACGGACTTGTTGTTCTTGTGTCCTGACTGCTCTTTTTTCTCCTGTATGTCCCAATGTAAGCATGATTTCTACATTTATTCCTTAACAGTTTTCTCATTTTCCTGAAAAAAAAAAAAAAAAAAAAAAAAACAACCACTAATTATAAAGGACCCAGATAAAATTTTAAAAACCTAGTATGTATTGTGTGTGATTTTAGTTAGTGCTTTAGATAGATAACCACAACAAAGAGAAAACTCCCTGCTGATCTTTTTAAAATGAAGGTATGTTTAATGTAAATTCTTTGAATCATTGTTGATCTTAATTTTCAGAAGCATTTTGGTGTTTTAAGGAAAATGTAATACCTACTTTTGTCTATGAACACTTCTGTAAGTACAATGTATGTTGATCAGTTATTGTTTAGATTTGACTTCAACTGTTCTTTTGTTTTTTTTTTAAGGAATCAAAAGTTAGAAAATTAGGGTTTCCTGGACATCTTGGTCAAGTAGACCAGCTGATCGCATCTGCTTTGCTCTGTATCCTCTGTTTACATTAAGAAGGGGCTGGGAAGGTGGCTCAGTGGTAGAGCGCTTGCCTTGCATGCCTGAGGGCCCTGGGTTTGATTCCTCAGCACCACATAAGCAAAAAGAAAAAAGCCGGAAGTGGCGCTGTGGCTCAAGTGGTAGAGCGCTGGCCTTGAGCTGAAGAGCTGAGGGACAGCGCCCAGGTCCAGAGTTCAGGCTCCACAACCGGACTCCCCCCCCCCCCCCCCCCCCCCAAAAGAAAAGAAAAGAAATTCGTGTTGTGGTTTAAACGTGCTCTGGAGAAGCAACTTGAATGCCTACATACACGACTGCATTGGCCGAGGGTTGCTGCAGGAGCCGCACACCGGGTGGTCCTCCAGTGGACACGGACCCTGAGCGCACGCGTGCGTGCATAACGTAATGCTGTTTTATCAGTCTTAGTCAGCAGTGCAGCTTGTGTTGCAGTTCTCGGTGAGGGGTCTAGATCTGTTACTTTAACGTCTTGCTGGATGTTTTCCAAGGAAATGACATGGAAGGAGGCACTCACGGATTTCCTCTCCCAGGCAAAAAAATATGAATGAAACTTTCATAGCACCCATCTCTGTTTGTTTCTAGAAGACCCATTTGATGACTTTTTTGGGAACCGAAGGGGTCCTCGAGGAAGCAGAAACCGAGGTGCAGGCTCCTTTTTCTCTGCCTTCAGTGGATTTCCATCATTTGGAGGGGGATTTCCTTCATTTGATGCAGGTATTTAATAGCTTAGATTTGATCTTTTTCATTCAAACAGAAATTGGTGCTTATGTCAGGACCACCCTTAGAGTGGGTATAGTTTGAAGTGTCTGCATTCCTTTTGTCAGAAGAGCTTTGTGAACATGTTAGGTCCGTGATTAATGAGTGATTTACTGTACTGACTTCCCATTTCCCCCAAGAATGGTAGCTTACTTCACTCTAGCCAGGTGTTGGTGGGTCATGTCCGTAATCCTAACTACGCAGGAGTCTTGAGCTGAGATTTGAGGATCACAACCAGCCTGAGCAGGAAGGTAATTTCCTTTGTCTCCCATTGTCAGTCCCTTAGCTTGAACTCAGGGCCTGATGGCTAGCACTCTACTATTTGGAGCCACAGTGCCACTTTGGTCTTCTGTTGTTTAATTGGAGATATAGGTGTTCCTGCCCAGGCTGACTTTGAACTGTGTTCCTCAGTTCTTAGTCTCCTGTGTAGTTTAGGATTACATGCATGACCTACTGTTCCCAGATTATCTGTGAGACTCTTATCTCCAATTAACCACCAAAATGACAGACATGGAGCTGTGGCTTAAGTGGTGCTAACCTTGAGCCAAAAAAAAAAAAAAAAAAAGCTCAGGGACAGTACCCAGTCCCTGAGTTCAAGCCCCGGATTGGCACCAAAAACAAAAAATACCTTAGGAAATTCAGACAGTAAGTAATGATATATTAAATGAAATTGATAGGAGATACTAGGCTTTGTCAGTTTCTTTTGGACCACATCTCTAGCCTTGCTTTTTGCTGGCTATTTTAGAGATGGAGTCTCACGCATATTTTTTTCTGGGCAGGTTTGAACTGCAATCCTCTGCATCTTGGGCTTGATGAGCAGCTAGGATTATGGGGCTGCCAGCACTTGGCTCTAATTTTAAGTTGTTTCATGCTTTCTCGGTTTGTTTGCTTACAGTTGACACTCTACCATTTGAGCCCTGCCCCCCACCCTGTGTCTTTGCTGGCCAATGGGAGACAGAGTCAAGGGCTCTTATGCCCACTGGCCTTTGATGCATGAGCTTAAAGTTCTCATTCTTGTGAGTTGCGAAGATTATAGGCATGAGCCTCTGACGCCCAGTTGTAATGAAAGTTTTAGTTAAGAGGGATGGAGTATTTTTCTGGTTAGCCACTTGCTAGCGCCTCACCAAATCTGTGCTAGCAGGAGCTTCCCACCTCTGGAGTCAGACAAAAGGACGCACTCAGTGGCACCCCTAGTGTCTTGGTTGTATGGAATTGGATCGTAGGTCCACACATAGCTTGGGTGTATGCGCCCCTGAAGTTCTCAGCCAGGGGCGGTTCTCACAGGCAAGTTTGAGCTTGCTCTGCAAACTAACATGTGCACATATCATGGCATATTGGTGCGTAACTGACTTTAAGCCTTGGTGGCTATGATTGGGGTGTTGGCAATTGTCTCCCCTTAAGTCTTGTGCCAGATTGTTTTTGTCTAGTTAAGGAGTAGTACACTGGTCCTTTTCCAGCAGATGGGCGTGCTCAAGACCATGTAATAGGCCAAGCACATGCCAGGAAAGGTGCCAAGACTCTGACCAAACCTTCGGAAGGCACTGGTGCTTCATGCCCGTAATCCTTAGCTACTTAGGACCAGAGGATCTGGAGGATCAGAGTTCAGAGCCAACCAGGGTAGAAAAGTCCTCAAGATTCCATCTGTGATTAGCCAGCGAGATGCCAGACTGGAGTGTGACTCAAGTGGTATAGTGCCAGCCGAGCAAGCCAAGTCAGAGCAGGAAGTCTTACAAACCCCTGTCCCATGTGTGTCGCAGCAGTACTAGCACGTAACAGATGTGTGGCGGTCTACACATGAAAGCCCTGGAGAGGCCACGGGATTGAGAGTTCAGCCCCACCTGCTCTGCAGAGAGACAGTGAGGCCCCTCCCAGAGCACGTGGGCCTCAGGCTCACACTGTCTTGTGTGGCAAGTAGTCCAAAGGGAGAGGGACTGGGACTGTGAAAGAAACACAGTGTGTTACAAATTGTACTGTTTCTAACTTTTTAGGGAGGCTATAAAATTAAACGTGTGGCTCACGTTTTATTAAAGCAGCACAATCCTAGACAGGTCAAACAATGTTCAGGAGTATGTGTTGTTTTAGTGTGACCATTTCAGAAATAGTAAAGAATTAGGCTCTTTTATCAAACCAATCTCCCTATCTATGAGAGGTTTTGCTTTAGGTTTTGTGTATCCAGGGTAATAGCTTCATAATTGAGGTCTATGCTTTCCGGGGGGCAGGTAATTAATTGCAGTATTCTGAAATTTCTGAATAGCTCAGCCTTTTGTTTCCTGTGGTGTCACTGAAGCACAGGCCAGTTAGTTAGATGCATGTTTCTATGGGGAAGTTGCTGTAGGTGTACCACACAAAGATGCTCTCCAGTGCCAACTAGATGGTCCAGGGCGGGGCGTATCTTTGGCATGTTGGAATGCCAGTGAGGCCCTGCAGTGCAAACAGCTGGTCTTTGTGCTTAAAGGTGAGCGTCCAGAGGTAACCGACCCATTCTTTGGCTCCCCTGCAATTCCCCTGAGGTACTGTGCCTATGTGGCTTATTCACGACAGACAGGTTACAAATACTTTGTGCAGTCATGCTTGACCAGGTATCTTAAGATGATCTCTTCTGTTTCCCTGCAGGATTTACTTCATTTGGGTCACTGGGTCATGGAGGCCTCACTTCCTCCTTCTCCTCCACGTCATTTGGCGGTGGTGGGATGGGCAACTTCAAGTCCATATCAACTTCCACTAAAATAGTTAACGGCAGGAAAATAACTACAAAGAGGTGAGTATAGTACAGTGGCTTTTGTGTATTTTCAGGAAGTCAGCATAATAGCAAAAAACTTCTATGCGCCCTCGAGCTGAAGTATAATTGTAAATTACTAAAGCCTTTGCTTTTTAATTTATGCAGCAGCTTACTTATTAGAAATTCTTATTTTGAGCAATAGTTTAATAGGTAATTAAGGATAAAAAGTTTTCTGCAGTACTGTTGGAATGGTGAAATGGAAGATTGTTACTGGTAAAACTCTACCTTTTTCTTTTCCTGTTTCTTTTCCCTTCCTTCTCTTCTGGTCTTCCTTCCCCTTCCTTTCTTCCCTTCTTCCCTCTTTGTGTGTGGGAGGAAGTTAGAGCCTTGGCATCCTTCCTAGGCAGTCATTCTACCATTGCACTACACTCCAGCTTAAAAAGGGTTTCAAATGAATTCTGTCTTGCAGAATTGTTGAGAATGGTCAGGAAAGAGTAGAAGTTGAAGAAGACGGCCAGCTAAAGTCCTTGACAATAAATGGTAAGGAGCAGCTGCTACGCTTGGATAACAAGTAACTCAGCGCACGCATTTAACAGGAGTGTTAAACCATAACAAGCACCATTTGAGGATTAACAGGAACATTTTTTTGAAGATTTCAAACGAACTCGACTTTCAGTATAACTGTACCTAATCTAAAGTATTTATAAGCAGCTCATCGGAGCCTCTATTTGTCATAGACTTTTGAGTTTATTGTTGGGACCATACAATAGGACCATTTTTTTTTGTCTTTAAAATTGTTGTAATCTCTGTATGCACTTTGCTTTTTATTAAGCGTAATGCAAGGTGAGGCCCGTGACTCTTGCGTAGCCCTAGGACAAGATTGTACTCTTAACACCAGCATGGACCTGCTTTCGTTGTGTTTGAAATGTGAGCCACGTAGTTCAGCCTGCTGTGAAGTTGACATTGCCAGGATGAATCTTCTACAGAAACAATTCCAGTTTCTTATTTTCAGTAATGAAAGACTTAATACATTAATGGTAATACATTTCTGGTTTATTATAAATTAAGGATGTTTTCTAGTTGTGCATGAATGCTGGCAACTTAGTACGTTTTGACAACTGTTTAAATAATGTAATGTTAAGCTTAGGTTAAAAATAAGTTGGTAAACTGGGTCTTTGTCATTGCTTTAAAAAAAAGAAAATAAATGCGACTGTGTTTGGTGCATTCTTTCCTGAGTGGGTGTCGTCGGCCTTCTTGTGTCTGTGTGGTTTTGTGCCTGGGTTTTTGTGTCACACCAATAGCACGCCCTTCTGTATTGAGGTGGATGCGGAGTGAAGTTACGTGTAGACCTGCTCAGCGTGTTTGGAGAGCAATGAGCTAGCAAATTACGGGGCATTTTAGTGTTCTGTTGCTGTGGGGAGGGGAGAAACAGCGTCACAAATTGAGTCTCTTACGGATGTTGTAGTTTCCTGAGGAATGGATGTGAAATCACCTGACCTAGTCATGAAATGATGGAGTAAGCAACAAAAAAAAGTTGATTTTGTCTCTGTAAAACTTGTCATTGTTGTCATTGCCTACTACTATTCCAGCTTACTTTATTCCACAGAATAATTTTTTGGGAGTTTCCAAATCCCCACCCACAAATTGTTTAGGAAATGAACACTCTTCGCTGATGTAGGTGTGAAGCTGGCAGAAATTTTCTCATTGAGCATTTAAGGAATCTGGTGTACTATTCCTGAGAAAACGTGTTTTTGTGTTTTTGTTTTTGGTTGGTCATGGGGCTTGAACTCGGCCTGAGGGCAGTCCCTGACATTTTTCACACAAGGCTAGTGTCTTAACACTTTGAGCCACAGCACCACTTCTGGTTTTCTGGTGGTTAATTGGAGATAAGAGACTTTCCTTCCCTGGGCTGGCTTTGAACTGCGGTCCTCAGATCTCAGCCTCCTGAGTAGCGAGGAATACAGGCGTGCCACGAGCACTCATCTTGCAAAAGACTTTTTAAAGAAAACTCATAGGATCTTTAGAAAGAAAGCACAGCACACACCAACTGAAGCAGTTGAAGAACAGTTGGACTAAGGACAGCCGTGAATGAACCCTGTGCCAGTGCTAGCAGTGCTGTGCCTGCAGCCCCTGCTTTTGGATGAGGTAGGTGTGCAGTCCATCTGTCCTACACCTGCTCCACCCCTAGAGCTTTCTCGTCGGAAGGCCTACTTGTGGTCATGCCACCAGCATCAATGGCTTCCATTCAAGTAGACACCCGAGACTTTTGGATGTAAGTTTTTTGTGGATAGGGATATCTCACGTGATCTATGGGGAAAGGCACATGGGAGTCTTGTCTCTTCCAAACGTGTTGACATGAACCAGCAGTTTGCTACACACTTGTTTGAATGCTTGGGGTAGATCTCTTTTGCTTCACTTGAACTGGAAGACCCAGAAGGTGTCTGACTGTGTGGGCTGAGCCCTTTGTAAGAAAAGATCCTGCACACAGCCCTGTCATTTGCATTTGAGAAAATGACCTTTATCCTGCTTTCCCACTAATGTGAGTTATTAATTGAACACCAGGTAACTTGTTAAATCTGCTCGGTTGAAGTGTGAAGCACTCAAGTGTATGCCATGAGAATTTGGCCCAGTGTTTATGAATGTAGCCTTGGTTAGGAATGAAATTGTTTTTGTTGAGGATACTACTACCCAAGCAAGTGACTTGGGCCAATAGCATTTCACTTAAATGACTTTTTAGTTTGTTTCTGCAGTTTCTTTTCTTTTGGCCAGTCTTGAGGCTTGAACTCAGGGCCTGGGCGCTGTCTCTGAGCAGCTCTTCTCAAGGCGAGCACTCTAGTACTTGAGCCACACACCACTTTTAGCACTTTCTGTGCATGTGGTACTGAGGACTTGAACCCAGGGCTTCATGTATACTAGGCCACGAAGTCACCTTCTCACCGCGAGTCACAGGTTTTGTGTATTTAGGAATCCCTTTGCTTTGTGTAGGAAAGGCCCCTTGGTGTCGTGTCTGTTGCATATGAGAATGAGACTGCGGTGGGGCTTCTGCCAGATGCTGGGCTGCTGCCTCCATTGGGAGCTGGCCGCTCTTGATTTGTGCACAGTGGCCTTGTAGGTCAGGTCCTCTGAAGTCGGTCCACTTTGCTGCTTCTCCATGGCTTATATATGTCCTCTCTGAGATGGACAACTCCCCACGTGGTTTTTGTAGGCTCAGTCAGTCTCACGGAGTGATCGAGAGTGGTCAGTGGCTTTGGTCATGGCTCTCTTCCAGGCTGACTTCAGTAGTTGTTGGAATTAGTCTAAGCACTGCCTGACATCCTGTTCACAGACCATGCCTATTCTTTGTAATTTCAGATTTTCCCCGAGGGTAGTTCTGGGATAATGGTCTTGCAGGGATTTAAATCTCTTGTCTAGAAAACCTTTAAAATTCCTGCACATCTTGTCTGGATTCTTACTAGCGATTGCTATTGTCTTTGTAGAGAATACCCATCTTTATCTTTACATACCGTAAACCCGTGGAATCTGGGTGAAGAAATGAGCAAAATGCACAGGATGCTGACATCAGTGCTGTAAAATACTCAGATCATGTAATCTCCAGAGTCAGAGTGCTCATCACTTGGAACCTCTACTTCCATGAAAACTACTGCTTTTCATACTAATACTTCTCACAGTATCAGCTGGCAAGGCAGGCAGGCTGCCACTTGAGCCAAAACTTGAGTGCAACAAAATGAGGTCTTATTTCATGTTGTATCTGGATTCATTTTTCCTGTAGCACAGCCTGACTGGTGGTAAAGATAGGAAGCGTATTGTCATCAACTCGCAGCGTTTTTGTGTGGCCACTTTAGGTAAGCACATTGTGTCCTGTCTCTCTCTCTCTCTCTCTCTCTCTCTCTCTCTCTCTCTCTCTTTCTCCCTCCATTTTTTTTTTTTTTTGGTCAGTCATGGGTCCTGAACTCTGGGCCTGGGCACTGTCCCTCAGCTCTTCAGCTCAAGATGAGCGCTCTACCACTGGAGCCACAGTGCCACTTCCAGTTTTCTGGTGGTTCATTGCAGATAAGACCTTTGTTGCCTGGGCTGGCTTTGAACCATGATCCTCAGAACTCAGCCTACAAGGTAGCTAGGATTACAGGAGTGAGCCACAGGCGCCTTACTTCTTGGCCACCATTCACATTATAAAAAAATGAAGACAAACAGCGTAGGTGTGCTCCGGGTGGACCTATATGCTGTCCCATAGCTACTGTGCTCAAGGTTGGTGCTCTGTTGCTTGAACCATACTCCACCTCCGGGTCTTGGGTGGCTAGTTGGAGTTACGAGGCACAGGCAGGAAAAGTTGCAGCTTCAAACTATAATGCTTAGATCTTCGGCTTCTGAACAGCGGTGCTCACAGCTGTGAACCGCCTGAGCCTGGCTGAGGGGCAATTCAAAGCGTGATTGACAGCTCGCCAGCTGAGCTGCACAGTGTGTGCGAACTTGCAGTTTGGGGTTTTGATTTTTTTAAAAATTTTTATTGCATTTGGTCAGAACTGCGTGTGATGAATTGGAGAATGGAGTGGGCTTACTGTGTAATCAGAACTGTCAGCTCAAGGAGCCAGAGGTAGCATTTGGCTTTTACCACCTCTTAGTGGTTATGGGATTATCCGTTAGCCTGTTTGGTTAGGAGAGGAAGAAGGTGCTGGTGTTAGTGTGTATGCTTTGGTATGCTGTGGTCAGGAGCTGAGTTGAAGACTTGTTGAGCAGCTAGATTGGGTTACAGGTGTGAGAGCGGGGCTCTCCTTGTCTGTGAAGGCTGTGGATGTGTGCAAGAGTACTTCTGCTAGTGTGTGAGGTCCTGGGTTCCATTCCCAGCCCCGGCTACAAAGCTCAAGGAGCAGCCTCCGGGGCTTCAGACCGCCGCCCTGGGCCCACCCCCATCTCTCACCTGCCAGGCTCCCTCGGGTGAGCGTGGCCGTGCGCTGGCCGTGTGTCTCCAGTGCCCAGTCACCTCTGGGAGAGCTGCCCGCTGTCCCCTCGAGCCCCGCCCTCTGGTGGACTTGTGCTGGGGCCAGGGCCTGGCTGGAAGTGGCTGCTGCAGGGTGTGTCCCACAGTAACGAACAACATTTGGCCTGACTCACTCCAGCAGTTGGTGTTTTCAAGACGCCATGGAGTGTCTATTCCGGGAAGCCCCTGCGGAGAGGCCGGCACAGCTGTCTGGCCTGTGTGTGGATAGGCGTGACTCCCGTAGGGCTTCAGGGGGCCTTTTGGCCATTGGCCCCCCTGCCTCCTTGTAGGATGAAGGGCGGGTTTATTATGCATGGCCCCAGCAATCTGTTGCAGGTGCTGAGAGCTCTGTGTCTGCTTCCAAAAGCCTATCGATAAGTCATGCGCCCACGCCCCGCCGTGCTCTTGACTTGATTTCCCTCCACCTCCACCTTGTGTTTCTACTGCCTCTCATCGTGTTGGACCTCGATACAGGTTCGGTTGCTGCACTCCTCCATCAGGACTCTGGTTTTTTACCTTGTTTCCCTATTTTGGCAGCTGCCATCTTTTCTGCACCTCTGCCCGT